CCGCCTGAACAGAATGGCTTCGCAAGCGCGGGAGTGCTTTCAGACCATACTTCTTGCAGAGTCCCAAGTGATGCATCGTAGGACCTCATTGTGTCTTCTAGTATAGTCGTGATGTAACATTTTTTCGCCCTGTGTTGCTAGATGGTCCACTGGTATCCGTCGCAAGATTCGAACCTGCGTCTACCGGAGTAGACTGCAACTTTATACAAAATAATCTTTGATAATTTACAAATTTCGAATATTTTACTCGCTCATAATTATTTGTCATTTAAAAAAACTCGAAAACTGATGTAAAAGACATCTTAACGCAACCAATCAGAATATTAAAAACTTCATTACTTTCATAGACGAATTACATATTTTACAATGAATCATTACGATCTTAGTTTTAACCAAAATATTGATGCAACCGTGTATGTTAAGTATAATAAGTTTTGGATGTTGAAGTATATAATAAGCGTATAGTTAACATATTTAGGCTTATTTAAGCAAAAAATATGAGTGAATCAGTAATTATAAATAGTTATATTGAAGTCAATGTTGAAGGGAAATAACGCAAGCACAAAAATCAGCCAACATATTTGCAAAAAGTGTAGTACACTTGATAGACTTGAGCGATATAATTAATATGAATTATTTAATGAATATAAAAATACAAATATAATTATTTCGGATGAAAAACTACAGTGGAAACCTAAACAATAAGTTACCTCAAAAACAGTTAACAATAGTGAAAAGTATACTTCCAGTAGTTCTTAAAAATTTGCATGGAAGATCTGGATTGGTAAACGTATAAGAATCAATCAATAAACGATAAATCAGTAAACGAATAAGTTTGCAAAAGGGATTGTTACATCTAGCCAACTCTCAATTTAATGCATTTTTGATCATTTGAACTTTGATAGCTCTCAGAGAGATCACTGCATATTTCTTCCCTGTCCCACACGTAAAAATGACCATATCTCTGCGCCGTTAGACAAAAACAGAGTACACGACTGACCAACAAACCATAAACAACTGAACGGTGAAATGAA